CTATTCTTTGGTAATTGTTGTTAACAGTTTCTATTTGTTTTTTAGTAGTTTTTTTTAGTATTTTTAATGATTTTTTTTAGTAGTTTAGCTATTTTGGGGATTTTGGTTCTGTCTTTTAGCATTTTGATGTTTTTTTTAAAAAAAAATTTGGAATTTTATAAATATATATATGAGTGTGGGAGAGGGAAAAGGGTGCACTCATTTTTTTTAGTAAGTTATTGATTATTTATCTGATTCAGCTCTTCTGATTTACAGCATTTCAGGCATTAAATATATCTGATATCGATAATATCGATATTGGATATATTTAATGCCAATATGCTGTAAATTAGAAGGGCTGAATCGGATAAATAATCAATAACTTACTAAAAAAAATGAGTGCGCCTTTTTCCCTTTTTTGCCCTTTATTTGAGCCATTGCTAAAACTTTAGGATACTAAAAAAAATAAAAAAATAAATATATAATTATATATATTTTTTTAATAAATTTATTTCTTATTTTTAATCAGCATCTTGAAGCTGAATGTAAATGACCCATTGAAGATCATAACCTTTCAACTAATGCAGCATTTATACAAATACCCATTATTTGACAAGCTACAAATCAAACTCTTTTGTATTATGTGAATACCAATTCCAATATTTAAAAATATTTTGCTTATATTGATCAAATGACACATCATTAAATGGAAATTGTTTAGTTCGATAATTATCAAATTCTTGTAAAATACTTGTTGGTGTAGTACTAGTCCAAGCAATATAATAATAAAATAAATATTTAAATCAACCCAGTTCAAATATGCTAAATTATTGAACTTATCAAGACAATATTTGGGTAAAGAACCTATGATAAAATAATTATAGGTTGCTTCCATTGTTGCCAACATTTTTTTAAACGATTACGTAACTTTATACTAAATTGTGTATCTGAAAGCTCAGATAAAAATTGATAAAAGTATCTAAAAGAATGTAGTACATCATAAAGATGTGCTTTATCTTGTTGTAAAATATTTAAACAACTACAATATGGTAAAAGAAGTCATTTAATAATTGCTATATTTTGCCAAAATTTAGAATTATTAATTGGATCACAAATATAACTAGGCAATACCAAGTTATCTTCATTATTTTCAATTAATTCTTCATCAATATCATTTTGAGGTTCATATTGTGCTACAAGTGTCTAATAAAAATATTTAAAATAATTATCTTAACAAAATATATAAAATAAATAAAATAAAAATTACCCTTAAAGCTTTTTTGGTTTATAAAAAACTACTAAAACAGTAATAATAACTGTTTCAATGTGTATTACCAGAAACAATTAGAGCTTGTAACTTTTAATATGTTTGTATCTGAATATCACGAAGCTTTCCAGCAAAATAAATATGCTTTTTACTTTTAAAATACATTACAATACATGTAGCTTCTAAAGCAGTATTAAATGTATTTGATTCTTTGAAAATTTTGCCTATACACAAATTAGCTTGGTGTGCAAAGCATAGCAAGTATGTAATTTTAAGATTTTCAACTTGGAGTTGTTTTCTTGCTGCAGCATATGATAAATGACTATCTATTACTATTGCTGCTATTTTTATTTCCTCATGTATTACAGTTTTTATAATTTCATTAATTTTATTTTTTACTTCTTCAGTACATGCTCTTTCATCACTAATATTAGCTGCTTGCCAAACCAAAACTTTACCAGAACTTGTAATTAATGTACTTTCTATAATTGATTGATTTATGACATTTGTCCAACTATCCATAGCTAGAGTAACACTGTAAGAATCTTCTTTAGCCTTTACTTTAATATCTGCAATCATCGAATTTAAAACATGTGTTAAAATTTTATTACTTAATTTTCGCCATTTAGGAAGATTGTATGAAGGATTAACAAATTCAAACAATGCAATAGTATCTGGATTTTGAACCCAAAAAAAACTCCATTCATTTGAAATTGTTGCTTTTAATAACAAATAATTGAATCTATCTAAATTATTTTCTATAAAATGGTGAAGAGTAAAATTATCTAATGTCTATTACTTAAAGATTTATTTATTGTATATGAATTTTGAGTATTAATAGCTAATTAACTTGATGCATAACTTGATAATGAGGTATGTTATGATTAGGCTGAGATAATTGATTTATTATCATCTTGTTGTATACAAAATCTTTTTCTTTGACTTTTTTGTATTGTTGCTTCACTATCTGTATCATCTATAATAGCTTGTGATTCATTCTCACCATATTTTTGCTTAAAAAATTTACATTTTTTAAAATGATCTTTGCAACATTTTTTAGTATTTGTAAACTGTTTTTCAAGTGCATAAGGACATCTTTTTATTTCTAGACAAGCTAGACATATTGCATATTTGTTGTATTCGTTAGCTTTTTGATCAAATACTTCAATATAAGAAGTTAACTAATGATGATGTGACATTATTTCTTGGTATAAAATTATTCAATAATTTTTCTTTTATACTTTATAAAAGAATTAATCTAACTTGTTAATTAGAATATCAAAGTTAAATAATAATAAGAATTGAATTATACAATAATGGCAATTGTGAAGTTTTTATATTTAATTTTAATTAACTACTATTTTTATCAAATTCATGTTTAAACTAGACTAGTATATATAATTGTTATAAAGTTTTATTTGCAATTTTTTTATATTTTAGCTTCGCAATAGTAAATTGCTTTTTTAGAAAATTTTGGATGTTTTATTTTTCATTTTTAGTAATTGATTCTTGTTGAAATTTCTTTTTTTTAGTATTTTTGTATTTTACAAATTTCAACTGATTGTATAAGGTACTCTAAATAGTGCTACGTATCTGCGCTAGAGCAGTATATCGAAGCGCTGCACTAGCGCTCAAAAAATTTTCATTTATTAGACAACTGTTGGTTATATAACAAAAAAAAATTTGATTAGTAACAAAATAAACCCCTCAACTTGAATAATAAATATATTTATGACCATACATATACACAACTTTCCTGACGATCACTCGTACCAAACTTATAGCTAACAAAAACAGAAACTTGTTGGAGAAAAGTAGAAGAGACAACTATAGAGGTTAAGGCTTGTCGTGTTCTTTCTCCGAACTCCTCTGTATATTTAGCATGCAAGTTAAAAGCGTTCTTGTACAAGATAACTGGCAAAAAGGTAGTGCCTTTGTGCAAAAAATTTTAATAGAAGCTCTGCTTCTGCTGACTAAGTTAAAGATAGTTGGTCTAAGGAGAACATCAAGTGAGTTTTCAACACACTATTTATTGAAGTTTAAGGATATCCACAAACCAAAACCTTCTACCAAACTTCACTTTTTGCGCTTTTCAAAATTTTTACCAAAAAGTGGGAAAAACAGAGTACCCCAACAAAAGATCGACACAGTAATCACTACTGAAAAAGAAAAGTTACATATATGTGTATGTGTCTACTTTGGGATGAGTAGTAGTAGATAATGTGATAATGTTTGAAACATTGCAGAAGACTCGCTGATCTAGTTGTGATAGCACCAAAAGTTTCGATCTTGAAGCTCTACTTCAAGACCGGATGGTTTTTAATATTTTTACATCCTAAATATAGGGTACATATCATTTCACTGACAATCACTTCACCGACAACTTAGTTTACCGACAACTTAGTTTACTGACAATTAATTCACCAACAAGTTCATTTCACTGACAATTAATTCACCGACAAGTTCATTTCACCAACAAGATTTTTTATAAATTACACTAACCTTAACTCTAATTTAGCCTGACCTTAACGACAATGACCAGAATTACTTTGTCTGTGAAATGAGCTGTCGGTGAATTAATTGTCGGTGAAATGAACTTGTCAGTGAATTAATTGTCGGTGAACTAAGTTGTCGGTGAACTAAGTTGTCGGTGAACTAAGTTGTCGGTGAAGTGATTGTTAATGAAAAGAGCACCACCCTAGATATAGACATAAATAACTAGCGTAGAGTTTAGTCTAGTTTATTTGTAGTACAATATAATTTTTACAATCTGGCATGGGTTTAATAGTGCTATCTTTGTTTCTTTTTTTTGTTTTCTTTTTTTTGTTTTCTTTTTTTTGTTTTCTTTTTTTTGTTATTTGTTTTATTTGGTTTTATTAATTTAGGTGGACCAGAACTCAATACCGTAGTATTTCTCTATTTTTGTTATGCCCTTTGTATTTATGTTTGTATTTCAGTTTGTAAAAAGAAAAGCTAACTTTGATATAGTGTGTGGTATTAGCCCATGACTAAAGGATAACCTCTAGTGAGTTAGGGGCCCAGAGAGAGGCTTGAAGTTCACTGAGGCAAGTCATATCTGGTGAAAGCGTAGGTACGTCACTTTACAGGTGGATTAGTTATAGCTATTATTAGTGAATATAAATTTCTTAGTATAGTTTAATCTCAATAAAAAGTGGCAGAATAGCCAAATTATAAAAAAAAAATAAATATATTTACGATTAAAAAAAAAGAAAAATAGTAAATACTCAGCCCAAATGATGTATTAATTACTTCATTTACAATAAAGAGCGACTATTTATATCAATATTTTTTTTTTTTTTTGTAGTCAAGGTTAGCCTCTTTGGCTTCCCACTTTTATTAGATAGTAGGATCATATGGTGTCCTTTTTAAGAGAACCCCAGACAAGTACATTCTGACAAAGATATATTCTAGCCATATCTGTACCTTTTGAGCACCTAATTAAGTATCTACCTATTACTAGGTTCTACACTAAATGCTATACCTATAACCCACTATTACTTGAGTTACCCAATTAAACTCTCTGATCCAAATTTCTCTGCCAATCCATCTAATCTCACCCAGAATATGCGATATATAAGTCAGTCCAAGTTTCAAGATCATCGTGCGTCACCTATAGGACTATCTGCATAGTTAACTGATTCATCCTCGAGTGCATCACCTGCTAGAGAATTCTGGTTCCACTATACCGTATTACCTAGTCTACTTCGGTAACTTACACCTAGGTCGAGACCAAGTACTTGCGAGCCGAAGCCGCTACTATTACCTACTACGCCCTTATAGAGTTCACCCAGACCCCAGCACCCACTATACAGACTATCTGCCATACACCTATCACCCCAAACTTTCAATCCAGATGGCCCAGAAGGACTGTGACCTGCCCCTGGTCCTCATGGTTGGGTTCTTTTCCTCCAGTACTCTTTGGCAGCCTGGTTGGTGGAGTGCCTTGCCAAACACTTCAGTCATGTTCAGTTCTCCGGTTTCTGATTGATAATCCTTTATATAGTACTGTTAAAGATCTGTGCTATCACTCTACTTGGGTCTTGCCAAGCGGGCTTCTATGTGCACCGACCTCGGATTTACATAACTGCTTCACTCAAGTTTTATATAACTCATACATTACACTATTGTTCCACAGTCTCTCAGTACGAGCTGGTGTGATCTAGTTACAGATGTCAATCTGCCCTTACACTCATAGTTGCCGTAACACTGTACTAAGAATTTGAATTTTCATTGCCGGTAGGATTCGAACTCTGTTCTTGCTACTTGGAGTTGCGACAACTTCACCACTTTACTAAGTCACTACACCCTATATCATTATTTTTTATTTCTACCAAATAAAAACAGTAATTAATAAAAATTTCTCAATTCTATATTATTCTACCAATTTGTATTATTCTATTAATAAGATCGAGGAAAATAACACACTAAACTAATTATTACCTTAAATTTATTTACAAGAGAATTACTACGTATGCTTAACCGGGAGATTTCCTAATTATACATGAACAGTGATCTACATAAAACTGTAATCACTGATCTATATATAAATACTAATTTTTTTTAATCTTCTCTAGTTTTTTTTTTATATAGCGCTGTTCTTTTTTTTCGTGTTATCATCAGTATTATCATTTTGGTGCTGTTGTTATTTGGTATTGTAGTTTTTTGGTGTCATCACTTTATGGCATACTCGAATAGTAGCATTTCCTGAATATTTTGATTTTGCTGGTGCCGTCGCTTTGGTGTCGTATGCTAGTGCCCTGATGCCATTGTCGTTTTTTGGCATTGTTGTCGTCAATTAGTGGTGTTTTTGATCATTTCTTTTTTTTGCTGGTGCGTTGCTTGGTGTCATCGTATACTGGTGCTGACTCATCGCTCTGTGTATGTCGTCTTTTGGAGTCTGACTTTTTTGTTCATTGCTCCAGCATAGCAATTCTTCAATGTATACCAGGATTGTAAAACATCAAAAATTTTTTAAAGTTTGTTTGTGTTAGGGTTAGATTCAAAGTTGGGAAGCAGAGAAGAATAGTTCATATAGTGCTTGACAAAAACTTTTTATTAGAGTATTAAAGATGATTTCTTATGCTGATTTTGAGAGGTAAACGATTTTTGACAAAACGGACGTTTGTTTTAAATTTTCTTGATCATGTTGCATTTTGCCTAATTTTGAATCTGATTCATAGTAATACAGCAAAAATTCTTTAAAGTTCATTTTTGTTAGGGTTAGGATCAGAATTAAAAACCAGAGGGGAGTAGTTTATATAGTAAAATTGTTCAATAAAAAATTTTTATTAGAGCATTAAAAGTGATTTCTTATGCTGATTTTGGAAGTAAGCAATTTTTGACAAAACGGACGTTTGTTTTGAATTTTCTTGATTGTGTTGCATTTCGCCTGATCTTGAAATCTGTTTCGTAGTAAAACAGCAAAAATTCTTTAAAGTTCATTTTTGTTAGGGTTAGGGTCAGAGTTGGGAATAAGAATATATTAGTTTACATAGTTAAATTGCTTGATAAAAATTTTTATTAGTGCATTAAAGGTAATTTCTTATATTGATTTTTGAGATGTAAGAGATTTTTGACAAAATGGACATTTGTTTTGAATTTTCTTGATCGTGCTATGTTTTGCCTGATCTTGAAATCTGATTCATAGTGATACAGCAAAATTCTTTAAAGTTCATTTTTGCTAGAGTTAAAGTCAGAGTTGGGAATTAGAAAGGAGTAATTTACATAGTAAAATTTCTCAACGAAAATTTTTTATTAATGCAGTAAAGGTGATTTCTTATACTGATTTTTGCGATTTTTGACAAAACAGATGTTTGTTTTGAATTTTCTTGATCGTATTGCATTTTGCATGTTCTTAACTTACAAAGGCTTTCTTTATCAGCATATTGAATACCATATAGTATTTAATTTCACAGGTTTGTATTAATCCATATATTTTATTACCACATGTTACATGATTTTCAAACTTATTTAATTTAATAAATTTAATGAATTAGTTAATCAGAAGATCTGATTTTTTTAATCTAAATTGATAAATTAAATTTTCATATAGCCAAAGTCTTTAATTTCTTTAGAAAGCATTTTGCTTGTTCAGATGATTTCAAGTTCTTTAACTTTCAAATCAGTTAAATAATTAGACATTATATTTGAAAATAAATATAATGATTTATCTTTATATCAGAAATTGCTATCAATATAAAACAAGAAAAGACATTCCTAGAAGAGACTGATATCTACCTATTTTGTAGACCTAATTGTATGAAACTTTAAAAAAATTATTTGTATATGGTGTTCATACTAAATTTGTAAACCTTTAGGTCTAATGTTAACTGAAACTACCAATTAGAAGAGATGA